ATTGACAAACTGACCACCTCTTCAGCAACATAACCACTTTCTCTCCCCATTCTGTTCCAATTTCTATCCTCTTGATACTTCTTTATCCATTATATCTCCATTTTCCTGTTTTCATGAACTAAAATTAGAGGAGAAGGTTATACAAGTTTTTCCCCCAGTCTTCTGTCACTTGAAACACATCTACTAATGCCTGCTTTTATGCCTTTCAATAGCTTACACATTAGTATAGTTCTCTTTTCAATTAATAAGTTTTTTGCTGGTTCTGCAATAGCACTATAAAGAATGATGACTTAAGTGGGTGTTTGTTCATTGATTTGCTTTGGAGCCAAGACTGGTGCGTCTCCTCCAACAATTGGCTTCATAGAAAGTGCAGTACATTCTATCATGTTTCTTTCATTCTGTACTCCAAATAATCCTCATTGTAAGAAAGCAAATAATGAGAGAATAGGGATGTGTCTGGGTCCTTCGGTCATTTTCAGTTGGATATTGCTATGATTTTCTCCCCAAATCCATTTCAGTTTATTTGATCACAACAGAGAAATTGATAGGAATGAGCTTTGTAGAGTGTTCATATGTCTCTGTGTTGCAGTAACAGCAGTCAGGACAATCTGACTTATTACTTCCATAAATAAGCCGATCTAATTTTATTTAGAATAAAGTTTGAAACTAAATGCAGGCTTTGGACCACATTCTGTCTTCAGGTACACAGGACTTCATTAGGAGTTGTATGGAACAGCTGTAGCTGTTAGACTTAATGCAGCAATGTGCTCTGGTGAGCCCTACTGATTCCTGCTACATCAGGTCAAGGGGTCTGAGCATGTGTGCAGTGTACATGTGCTTGTAAGATGCGAATGCAGCAAAAGGGTACTAGTAAAATTAGACAAAGGTGCCGTGAAATCTCTCGCTCAGGCCCTTGCTAAACATTACATATATTAGGCCATTAACTGGTTAATCACACCATAAATTTAGACTAGCCACAAGTGCAAAGTAAGACTGGCCACAAGTGCAAAGTAATTATCACACAATTAACTGGTTAACTGTGCAATAAATTTCGACTAGCCACACCTGCAAAGGAATTATCACACCAGAAAAGTGACATTCCTGCTATAAAAAGAGCCAAACAGCTATAAAGTTAGCGCTGGCAAATGTGTAACAACTCTGTAGTTGGTTTCTCTCCAGCTTTCATCTGAACCTGTAACAGGGCCCTCAATGGCATATACTCTTACTGGTTACATATTGCTTCTGCAAGTTATATAAAGTGGTTCTAGGTTACCTAAAGATGCTTCTGTCTTTGCTGTCTTTGTGTCATGTTCTCTTCTGTGCCATGCTTGTCTCTCCCTCTTTTCTCTCCCTTCCAGCTGTTCTGACATCTCCCTGGTGCTGCTACTCCCATAACAGCATCGCCTCAAGCTTTTAGCATGTTTGTATTATTTACTGTTTTGGCAGGCTGCCAGGTTTTTTCCTGAGGCTAGAATGAGAGAGAAAATAATAATTTAGAGTAGTTTATAGCTCATCAAAAGCTGAAGGGAATTCTGTGGAACCAGGAAATGGCAATTTTGTCATTCGTGGGGGTTTCCCTTGCAGAACCGTAAAGAGTAGCTGCACCAATGTGAAAGCATCTGAAGGAGAAGGGCACAAGATTGCTGAACTGGGCCTCCTGAATTAAAAATGCCCCCAGTGCACCACAAAATGCTGCGGCAGACTGAAAGGATGCATGTTCTCTCTTGGACATCAAGTTTTACTTTTTCACAGGGGATATAACCATGTTCCTGAAAAAATACGTTGCAATCTATTACCTCATGATATTGCCCTGGAGTAGAGGTTATCAACCTTCTTGGACTTGAGGCAGGCTACATTAGACTCAACACACCCCTCTATAACTTTTGTGAATTGAGTGGCACCCAGTTTCAAAAACTAATTGATATATTAGTGCTGATCTCCTTGCAAAAAGACCGGGCAGTGGGGGTAAAGGATTGGCCAGGCTTGGACAATCCTGAGCCTGCTCTTATCTGCTTATCTCCTTGCACCTTGGGGCACCCTTGAAATCTCTTCACACCTTGTGGCACCCTTCAAAGAATCTCACAACATCCCAAGATGCCATGGCATCCCGGCTGAGAATCACTGCCCTAGAGCTAATGCCTTGTAAACAACAAATGAAGGTGGTTACAAAGTCATTAAATGTTAAAAGGGACCAATATTCTGGTGACATCTTCGTATGTAGAACGAAACGCAAATAGTCTAATAGCCAGAATGTCTTTGTTCAGACTCTAAGTGTGAAATTAAATAGACTGTAACTCCTCTTACAAGAAGGTCCATCCTTGGAAACATTTTAATAATCTGTTTATGAAATGTGAAATTATTGTACTGGTCTCCAAGACAACTGCATATACTAAAAAGAAGAGATAATTCTGTTTATATTTCTTAAAAATGATACAGCTGTACATTTGAGGCTGCTTATGTTTTTGGAATAATAACATAATGACAATAAGATTAGGAAGAAAATATCCCAGTTTCCGGAGCTATTTGTTCTTTGCCAGCTACAGCATTGTTGAATAGTCAATAGATAAAATCTAAATGAGTTTCACCAGATGTAAAAACTGGAAAAAAGAAAATGTGTTACCCTTAAAACCCTTCAACTCTAGGGCCAGGTACAGAAATTACACTTTTACCGGTATAATTGATTGGAAACCAGTCTATACCCATAACAGAACAGAAGTTCAGCACACATAGAGTGGTTTAAAAATGGCAGAAGCCAGTTTAAGATTTGCGCCCCCAGCAAAGGGCTATTGTTTTCTGTTTGCTACCGATCTATACTACACTGCTTACAGAAAACTGTGCAATTTAGATCAATCCCACCTGGGGCTTTTTGAATGTCTGTACCTAGCCAACGGGAACACAGGGTAGAAGGAACCAACAAGTTGCATTTTATGTAGAAAAAAATTATAGCGTGGAAAATGAAGGACCATGTTTCAATGAAATGTGGCAACAGTTAAAGCTTTTTACAAGGAGAGAGGAATGAAGAGAGACCATCACCAGGAACTCGCATTGACTCTGGACTTATCCCAGGTGTGGATGCCCCTCTTCCCCTTCCTGTGTCCTATCTCATATTTACAGCACTGTGAAATCACAGAACTTAACTCCAAAACGTTCGGACACATAAATACATTGTATCAAACTAAAAGAGTTTGGAGGACCTTACAACATCCATAATAATCCTTTTGTGTGCCCAGTTCTGTCCCATGGTTAGTGAAAGCTAAATATGACCAGTTTACCTCTGTTTGAAACAAGTTGCCACAATTTAGATTCCACTTGCCATGGAATTGGGTGGACGGACTGAACATCATGGAGTAACTGACCACTCCTTTTAGTATGCTATAATTTCTACATCTGTCGATTCACACAGTTTGAACTGAGCTCTGCATTGTAACATCTTTGAAAGAAGACATGGATATTGAGGAAACCGATTGTCAACCCCCAATGGAAATTTCATAGTTCTTAAAAAAAGTAGCCCTTCCCTGGATTTTGTTAATTCGATTGATTTCTTAGGTGTTTGTTTTAGGAGGAAACCACTCTCATTTTACTTTTGTTTAAGTCAGCCAGTAACTTTTGGCCTTTTTTCCACAGCTTTTTGGAACCCAGGGTGCCTATACACGAGCTAGGAAGATGCTCTCACACACTGTAATTACAACACATTGGAGCAGACTCAGTGAATTGAGTCTGCTGGAGCATGGCAATTTCTGCACTCCAGCCAGCCTCCACATCTTGTGTATCAGCATCCCCGCTCTTCAAAATGGTGGCAAGGGTGCTTTAACTAAAGTGTATTCAAATAAGCTTTAGATAAAGTGCCCCTACCACCATTTTGGAGCACAGGGGCCCTGATACATGAGACGCTCAAGGCACTTTAATTAGAGTGGCTCCCCGCCACAACACTCTTGGAACATGCGTAAAAATGCCTCCAGTTTTGCAGATGGCTTATTACACTTCAATCAGCCTATGATATATTGAAGGGTAACGCAGATGACAAATGATTAGAGCATGTTAACAACCTAGGCTGTGCTCCTGATTATTTGTTTTAAAGCCTATTTATTCAGTGGTTGCTATAACCTGAGGTATAAATTAAAGCTTGGTCATCTGGAATATAGGGAATTCTGACTTGCAAGTGCTGTACAGTAGGGCTGTGCGAAGCTTCAGGTGCTGATTTGATTCAGAGGAGATTCGGCCCAGTTCAGTGACCGAATCTCCAAATACAAATCGAATCATCAGGAGACCACTTAAAAGGTCTGAATGGATTTGAAGCTCTCCACATCAATTCGGAAAAGATTCAGAGAGCTTTAGCAATTTGGGCAGTCCCTGCTCACTGCACGAGGGAGCTGGACCCAGACTCCATGCTGGCGAGTAGGGAGAGGGGGAGCTGGAGGAGCGGGGAGGGGACCATAGGGGGACCCCTGCCAGGCCCAATCTCCTGCCCACTCTCCCAGCCCCTCCTCCCATGGCTGCCCTGACTGCCCCAGCTCCCAGCTCTTTAGAAAAAAGCCTCTAGCCACTGGCTGCTGTGAGGTGCAGGGGCATTCCCCGCTGCCCCCCATTGCCCCATGCTGCATGGGGGGCTCTGCCATGAGCCCCACAACCTCTGCCCACTCTCCCTGCCCCCCCCCAATGGCTGCTGCACCTGGCCCCAGCTCCTGGCCCTTTAAAAAAAAAAAAGCTCCCACTCACTGCTGCAGCAGCCTTGGGGCTTCTGGGGGCTTGTGGCAGAGCCCCCATGCACCGCAGATTCAACCAAATTGATTCGGGACAGTGATTTGAATAACCGAATCGAAGCCCTATCCCCCAAATTGGCTGTATCTGAAGCAAATGCTAGCCGCTTTGCACAGGCCTACTGTACAGCTGCAAATTTGGGTTCAAATATAGTACAGTGATTAATGTCAAATATATTAATGGCTTCCTACAAGAAATTAATCCAAAAAGCACAGACTGAACTTTTCTTCTTTTTTTTGCAGACATTGATGAGGAGTGGCAAGGATTAGATGAAAACATTGCACATGTCTCTTTCTCTGCTGAGCGCTATTCTGAGGATGAAATGATTAAAAGGTCAAAGGAATTTTATGAGCTTCTCAATAAGAGGCGGACTGTCAGATTTATAAGTGATGAGCCAGTCCCCAAGGAGGTTATTGATAATGTCATCAAAACAGCAGGTACAATACTGGATGAATGGTTCTTGATAATGACACAAGTTTAGGACTGATGCTCAACCACATAGGATGAGAGGAGTATGGATGGGGAACACTCAGGGAATAAGAATTGAGGGCATGAACAGTATCTTTCCAGGTTTAAATGCCAGCCTGTTGAATCAGCACTGAATGAAGTTTCAGGGGGGCGAGGGAAAGGTTATCATCCCAAGAGCCATGTGAATAACGGATTCATCTTGGTTTGCTTGCAGTTCTGAAAAATAATAATAAAAAAAAATTGTAGCAAACAAAAATTAAATTTAAAAAATAAATTAAAAAAAATCAAACAAATCATTTCATTTGACCCAAAATAAAATGTTTTATTTCCTTTCTTTAGTTTTTCAAAATATTTTACTTTAATTAATTTTGAAATTAAACATTGTATCTGTATTTATGTGCATATTATAAGCGCTGAGAATTTCAGTGCCCTGGCCCTAGGGGTGGTTGAGTGAAATAAAAAAAAACCACATGGATTTACACATGAAATAAAGTTTGCTTGATGACATAGAAATAGGAAAATAAAAAATAAGTATAAAAATAAAGATAGGGATGAAAATAATAAGAATACAATAAGAATAAAATCTTAAAATATTGATGTAAAAAATTCAGAACAATTTAAAAATGTGTAAAAAAAAAAAATATTGAATTAATGAAATGACACTTAAAATTCATTAAATTAATTAACCACTTTTGGTTACATATCAGCAAATTGTGAACTATAGACATCACCAGCCTGTAGGGGCTTAGCAGTGTGCAGTGTTCCCTGCTCTAATTTAGTACAAAGAGATCAGCAGGGTGGGTTGTTATGTGGTGCCCCCTGCAGTAATTTACTGTGAATAGCATACTGAGCATTTCATGAGATTTCAGACTGATGACATGTAAACAGTGATGGAAAAATAAAACCCACTGTTTCAATTTAGGAGGCATAGAATGCAACCCTGGGCCGCTTGTACAAGTGATGGGGCTTTAGTTCTCCCTAAATTCATAGATTCATAGATGTTAGGGTTGGAAGGGACCTCAGTAGGTCATCGAGTCTGACCCCCTGCTCTGGGCAGGAAAGAGCGCTGGGGTCAGATGACCCCAGCTAGGTTCTTGTCCAGTCTCCTCTTGAAGACCCACAAGGTAGGGGAGAGCACCACTTTCCTTGGAAGCCCATTGCAGATTCTGGCAACCCTTACTGTGAAGAAGTTCTTCCTAATGTCCAACCTAAATCTGCTGCTCTCCATCAATTTGTGGCCACTGTTCCTAGATACTCTAGGGGGTGCCCTAGTAAATAGAGCATTTCCTATTCCCTGCTGCCCTCCCCTGATGAATTTATAGGCAGCCACAAGATCACTCCTCAGCCTTCTCTTGTGAAGGCTAAAGAGATCTAGGTCCCTCAGTCTGTCCACGTAGGGCCTTCCCTGCAGGCCTCTGACCATAGGAGTGGCCTCCTCTGAACCTTCTCAAGATTCTCTGCATCCTTCTTGAAGTGCAGTGCTCAAAACTGGACACAGTACTCCAACTCCAATGGTAGGTTTTATTTTTCCATCACTGTGGAAATCGTGGAACTTATTTTTCCATCGTGTCAATTAAAAACCCACCATTTCAATTTAGGGACTTCCATCACTGGTATGAAACAGTGATGGCCCACCGGCAGCTCACCCAGGCTACAGGCAGGCTCCACCAGAAAAAAAAAAGAAAAAGCAGGGACCCAATCCCTGACCCTTTTTCCGCCCCCCAGAGCTTGCCCACCTTCAGCCAGGGAATGAGCTGCCAGCAGGTCCTGAGCTGTGGGGGGCCCGGTCCTTCTCTACATGGCAGTGGTGCCCACTGGATCTGCCTGCTAGCAGGCGGGTGCTGCCTGGGGCATCACCACTGCAGAGGGAAGGACCAGGAACCCCTGCAGCTCAGGGCCCGCTGGCAGCTCATCCCCCCCAGCTGCAAGAGAGGTAGGTAGGCTCTGCTGGAAAAAAAAAAAGCAGGCCCCTCGCCACTGTTTTCTGTCTTGGCAGAGCCTGTCCACATGAGCTGCTGCCGAGTCGCACAGCCCCTGAGCTGCAGGGGGCCTGGTGCTTCCCTCCAAGACAGTACTGACTCTCAGGGTCGCTTGGTTGGCATGCTAGTGGGGGGGTGCTGCCCCAGGTCACAGGCAGCACCTGGCCCAATCCAATGGTGCACAGGGTGCTGGAAGCCCAGGCATACCCAGGCTTGGCGGACTCAGGCTTGGAAACTCAGGCTTGGCGGACTTCCAGTGTCTCATGCACTGTCTCTGCACCTTCCTGACACCTGGGACTGCCCAAGAATGGGCTGGCTTGCCCCTGTGGTAGTGCAGAAAGGTGGCAGGAGGGTGGCTGGGTGTGCTGGTGGCTGGAGAAGGTGGGAGCATGGTGCACAGGGTGCTGGAAGGCCACCAAACCCAAGCTTCTCCGAGCACACCTGGGCTTTCAGCACCCATGGACCATCCCAGCTGCCTTCTCTGGATGTATCGCTGCAATTTGTTACATAACAAACTAAAAAACATTGGATGGATTTTACTTTCCTATGTAACAAAGTCATTTAAATAGAAATACACTGCCAGATGTGTACAGCTTGATGAAACTGAAACGTAATACACTGCCGCAGGTGTAAACTGTGACACCATTAAACCAGTAAAAAAGGGCAGTTAACCCACTTAAAAGGCCAATTTTGTGACGTGTACAAGCACCCCTTAAGAACTAAACCCTTATCACGTGTACAAGGGCCCCAAATGACCGAAGTCATTTGACTGAGTCTGGCTATTGGCACCCAGAGAAGATATTATGAGGTAAGCAAGGCTGTAAACTTGTAGTGCACCATTCTTTCCACAGTAACTGCACGTCTGTCTGTTCTTACTCTGTGATAAATATAACACAGCTACCCCATTTTCACTGTGGGTTAAGCTACCCTCTCAGAAATTAAATTTTAGGGTTTTTTCCAGGATTTATGTACCCCAGACTGTTATTGTACTGTCCAGGCCCAAAGTCATCTCTGCTCCAACATCATTGACTTTACTCAGCCATGAACTGGACCTGCATTACTTCTGTTGCTCTACAAGCTGGCTGTTGTTAGTAAAATATAACATTCGAAAGCAGCTTTAAGAAATTTCAGGGACTCGGTGGGCGTACTCATACAAAGATTCCAGCAGTCATTTGCTTTCGGTTGTTTCCCCTTTAAAACACAGTAAGCCATTTTGTTTCTATACCTGCATGGCATGAGCCTCTTTTGTCTCCTGATTAGGTGGCAATCATTAAGAAACTAAACAAGTTTTGGCAAATGCAGCAAAGTGCATATGCATATGCCTGGAATGCACATAAAGCATCTCCTAATCTAGAAAAAAATCTGAGAAATATAAAAAAGGGAAAATGTAAACACCTGCAATTATAGTCTCAAGCTAAGGAAAAATTAAGTACTTGATAAACCGTATTTAATATGAAAGACAGCCGTGTCTTTAAGTAGCCTGTTCATAGTACATCTCAAATTAAAGTCAGCGCTTAGATAAATGAACATTCATTTCTAAGACCTACAAGTGGTTAAAATATTTATTTTTAAAAGGAAACAAGTAGAGTCCATTCAGCTAGCAAAATTCTCCACCTTAGTCCTTTTTAGCCAGCTTCACATGTGAGGAGCGAGGTTCAAATGTAATATGTACCTACATGTGTCAGCTGCTTTTGGAGCTGTCAAGTTAAACTGAATGCTACTTAGCAGACTTCTGCACAGCAGTGTCCTTCTTTAATCATGTGGCACCTGATTTATTTTGGCTTCTAGGTTTGACTGCCTGAGGGCCCTTCAGCGAGATCCTTTGAATCAGCTGCATATTTAGTCCATTTAGTATTTTGCTTTGATTTTATTGTTTTGCATTAATATTACTTACTGTATGATGCTTAGACAGACACCTTAAATGATTTAAATTAAAAAGTTCTAATTCCTCACTTCTCATATTATGACAGAGATCCGAACAAGAATTAAATAGGATAGCCAGTAGTGAGTAGCATTTAATACTTTTTTCCACAGAAAAATAAATAAGACTATCAGCATCAGTGGGAGTGAGTCCATTCTCTCTCATTGGTCAGCCTAATTTCTTGTTGTTCTGCTTTGCAGTCCTTTAGTAAACAGAATGATGATTTTATGCCTCATTTCTGCTACCCTTTTATTGAGTGATTTTACTATTTGTTACTTGTATGCAGGAACTTCTCCCAGTGGAGCACACACTGAACCTTGGACTTTTGTAGTAGTGCATGATCCAGAAATAAAACATAAAGTTCGGGAGATCATCGAGGAGGAGGAAGAAGTAAACTACAGGAAAAGGATGGGAGACAAATGGGTGCATGACCTAAAAAGACTGAGGTACAAACATCAATACAAAAAGCGGCCAAGATTTTTCAACATGATGACAAATCAGAGGACATGAAGGGCATATCCAGATGAGTGCGCACATACGGTTTACAGTGCTACAGACCCGTCTGCAGTGCCACAAACCACACATGCAGGCATTTATCACGCTGTTGATTTGCAGCATAGTGGGTTTTTCTGACACTGGAAAATCCCAGTGTTAAAAGAACCTGTGGCAGAAAAAAAACAGGGCAGTGTATATGGCAGAAGCATGCACCACCCAAAACCAGAGCAACATTCTAGCTGCCAGCCAGGCTCTATGCACCCAGATTACTGCTGCTGCAGCAACACTAGGCCCCCAGGTAAGGCTGCTGGGCCAGCCCAGGTGCTGGCCCCAGCCTCCTCTACTCCACCCAGGGCAACTTGCCACATGTCAGAGCATGCGTGCATGAGCATTCTCCAGGGACAAGTAGCAGCAGCACACCTATGTGCTACTGCTCTTTGTCTCCAGGGAAACACGTGTGCGCTCTCATCTGGACATGCCCAAAAAGAGCTTGATTTGGAAAACTGGGTGAGCGGACAACAGCAAAAAGTAATGAAAGTTAGACAGACAAATGTCAAGACACCCAAAATGCTTAGCTGCTTCTGAAAATCTTGAAAAAGTAAACTCATAACTGAAAACTTGTCAGCTGTGTTTGCTCAGAAAACGTATTCTAACTAATACTTTTCTTTCATTTATTTTAAGGGAAAACAAAGAAGCTTTTTGAATCAAATACAGATGTTTGCTTTAAAATATTTTTGCCCAAGGATCTTTAAATATTCCTCATTTTGCAGGGTATTTTCCAAAAGAGAAGAAATTAATCCCTCCTTAGATTCTACCCCATTTCAATAGAGCTAAGAAGGCAACTGAGATCATGGCAGCTTCTTCCACCAGGCTACTTCTTCATAGAGTGGCTGTTTCAATTCCATAACTGAAAGGATTAAATTCCTCCTTTTGGGGGCAGAGATTTTCCATAATCTAGCTCACATGATTCGAGGTAAAGACTTGCATGAATCCTTAGCTTTAGAGAAATGATGAAACCCCCTGAAATCAAAGGAGCTTTTGCAGTATATCAAATTAAGCATTTAGGATCAGAGGCTAGCAGTTCCATATGCCCCACCTCTTTGATAATAGCATTTATAATTTTTATTTATTCATATCAATAGTATTTGTTCTGGTACAGAACCAGAGTACATGGGAGCTATATAAATAATTTAAATATAGCTCTTTCTGCATAATAATGAGACTGGAATATTTGCACAAGATGGTATTACATATACTATCTCTTCACAAATAGCACCAATAAAAATCCTTGCTTGTTTTGTGAGTTCCTATAATACCACTCCTGGAACCAATGTCACTGAAGTAAAAATGGCTGAAAAACAGGTCAATGAGCTAGGTTGGATGACCATCACTCCATCATGGAAAGTATTTAAGAAAAGGTTGGACAGCCATTGGCTGGGGATGATCTAGGCATAGCAATGCCTATGTTCTACCATGGTATTTCCTGTGCTTCTGGGCATTTTTGGCTGCCTCTGCCCCCCCACTCTTTTCTGTTATATATGTCAGGGTATTTATAAGTCCTCCCAGAGGCATTAGGTGTTGGCTACAACCAAGGCTGTGGACTTTGACTGGCGTGTGCCAATGTTCCTGCTGGGAGCAAAGCTGGAGGTTCCTGGCTAGAGGGTCTTTCCCCTCTACTGAGGGTCAGGCTGATTGCCATATTTGTGGGTCAGGAAGGAATTATAGCTCATGATCAGATTGATAGGGAATGTGAGCAGTTTTGCCTTCCTCTGTAGTGGGGTTGCTCGCCCTTTACCTGGGACCTCTTGAGCATATATTCACAACATTTTATGCAGGACATTGGCTGCTGTGGTTCCCCTGTTAAACCTGTGTGACAGGTTAGAGTGTTAAATCTTGTGTTGCATCAGAGTTGATGGTAGTCTTATGTAGAGTTTAGATTATGGTTTGCATGGGTTGAGTTGGATAGGGATGGCCCTGCCTCAGGTGGGGTTTTGAACTGGATGTCCTTTGGAGGTTCCTTCCAGCCTTATTTCTTTATGGCTCTATGACTATAAGTGTAACTGTGGAGGAGCAGATGGGACAGCCCCCAGGCACCACCTTTGTGCAGGAGCTCAAAAACAGCCACGACCACAGTGGTGGCTGATCATGCCACTCAATGAGATTCACAGCAGCTGGCATTGCCTTAGGTGCTGCATGGATGCCTTGAGCATGGAGCTGCCCAGCTGTGCCTCTGTGGATAGTTGTGTTTGTGTGCACAACTTAGACAAGGTTGTTTTCAAGCTATGTTAGGAATTCCCATCTTGATAGACTGGAAGTAAGCATTGCAGTAGGAATTACAGTATTTTGCTTTGTAAGATTAAGTCACTTCCTTTCTTCTTGATTCCTGAAGGCAAGTGCCCTGAGTCTAGGCCACAGGTAAGAAAAGATAGATCTGTATCACATTTCCATACAACAACACTACAGAGCTGGACAAAAAAACAAGTCTTTTATCCATATTGTCCGCATGTGCTAAGATCTAGGGCTCTAGTTCAGGTCTATTTCTATAAACAAAAACACTCAACATTTTAAATAAAAATATTATTAGTAATACCAGTACATTCAATATTTTATTAAAATTTTAAAATGTTCACTAACAATAATTTGTGGTAAGTTTTTTTTGTCTTTAAGAGCCCCATCATCATAACTGTTGCACCCTTTTCCCAAATCTTTATGGCCAATGCAAATATTTTGTGACGTAATGAAAAGAATTAGGCAACAAATAAATAAATGTCTTAACAACGACCTTTTTGCAGAACAAATTGGATCAAAGAATACCTGGATACAGCTCCCTATCTGATCCTCATTTTTAAGCAGGTGTATGGGAGACTTCCAAATGGCAAAAAGAAGACCCATTACTACAATGAGATCAGTGTTTCTATTGCCTGTGGTATCCTTCTGGCTGCACTGCAGGTATGTCAGTGATTTGTCACACAGTTGGGTTGGGTTTAGACAAGGCATGGATGAATTGCTTTGAATAAAATAACAAAACTGAACCTTAGCCCCAAACTGGGACTAAACCCAAGTCTTATGGGAGGTGTGAAAAAGCTTGACATTACGATTCAAAAAATTAATAGAATCACATGAAAACTTGAAGCTTTGAATGTTCCTATATTGCTAGTACATATTTGTACTGAAAAAATGCTCTGCCCAATATGGAGAGGCTTAGGTCCAGGAAGATAAATCCAATCTTCCTTTAATATTGGTTAACAGTAAGAAAAGCAATGCATCTCATGTTGCCTGCACCTCCTTTTAGAGAGTAGATCCTGGCACATACAGCACACAAATGGCAGAGCTAAGATTCTCAAGATAGCAGTCTGACAACCATAAACCATAATACTATTAACACCTTCCTTTCATTAATCCCTAGAAAATACTTTAAGGATCATTGCTCTGAGATCATCTTTAGTGTTATAAGGCACAGCACTGCAAAAAAAGAGGAAGCACTTAGTAGGCAAGGCAGTTTCACTCATTTTGTTCAAAGCATTTCTGAAGATGAATTCATGTACAAGGCATATGAAACTGCATATGTTTTACACTGGGCAATCAGATAATCTTATTAATCTCTCAACATTTAATTCATTTTATTATCTCTAATACACACAGATAAATATTTGAATAGTCAAGATTTCCTGGGTGTTATATCACTATAACAGGGGCAGGAAAATGGTGCTTACACTGAACCAACTTGTTACTATTGAAATAAGTCTTTCCCTTCTGTGCCCTTTTTGATGTCTGGTGGTTGTATCAAAGGAAAATCTTCCCAGGTACAAAGCTGAGGAGGAAGCAGTCCATGTGACTGAAGTGTGCCACTGGTGTGCCACTCCTCTGTAGCTGCCTGGGTAGCTGTCCACTTCCCCCCCAGTACCTGAGTAGGAAGAGGGCACACTGGGGATGTGGCTAAAAGAGAAGGGAGCAGAGCCATCACCTTGGGCCACCAACCACCATGGAGCTCTACTCTTCCCACAGACCTCCTGCTCTTCAGTTACTTTAGGAGTCCTTGCAGTCAGTTATTTGCAGCTATCCTAAGACCCCAAAGGTTGTACTGTCTTGCTCTTCACCAGTCATTAGGTCTTGGTCTCTTTAGGCTCCACTCTTCCTCCTTCCATAATCCTTCCCTGGGCCTTTATGCAGACAGATACCTGATGGTCCTTGTAGCTCAGCAGTGGCGCTCCCTCCTCCCCGACTCTTGCTCAGCGCATAGTTGCTGACAAGACTGTCGAGTAGTGTTGAGCACTATAGAGTCCTGTCAATGACTATGAACTGAACAAGAGGCACTGGGTGGGGAAGACCACTGCTGAGCTACGAGTGCTGGGCAGACTGCTGGGTGTGAGAAGCTCAGCATGTGAAAAAGTTATGAAACTGGCACTCCTACATATTTAATAGATCCCCGTTCATCCCAAAGGTTCCCCAAATGCTTAGCAGATTAAATTGAAGGCCATGCACTGCCCTAAATCCTCAGGCAGAAACCCCACTGAACTGGGGAGAGCTGCATGCTCATCTCTTGGTTATGTTTGCCCTTTAGTGTTTGTCTTGTTTCCCCATTTCCTTGTGGGTGTTGTCATTGGCAGACTGGGCAACAGGTGACTGGTCTGAATGAATGTCTTTGTTTTTCTGTAAAATCCAAACTAAATAAAGTGCATGTTCATAGCAGGTGACAAGCTATTCCTAAGGGAAAAATGTTGTCCCACCTCTTGAGAGGCACACCCCTGCCTACGGAGTACTGCCTATAGAGAGGGAAGCAAACTTGAGGCACCCTTTGTTGCACTTGCTGCAGGCACTGAGATAGGCCTGGTATAAATCAGATCAATCCTGCAAGCTGCTTTAACTCCCAGCACCCTCCTCATCGCTGTCTCTGAGCCATGGCATAGCATGGAGTGCTAAACTAACAGGACATGCCAGATATCCTGGAACAGCTCCAGATTTCAGCTCCTGAAACTTGGGGCTTTTGTTCCAAATTTGGACAAAAATAAATAATTCTGGATCAGATCTAGGCAGTGTCCTATGGAGTCTGCTGAGAGGATGCAGCTTGATGCTCTCTGTTGTGAGAATGCAGTTTCCTCCTGACCTGGAAGCAGCATAGCCATGTTCGTGCAGCACCAGGTTTGTTAGCCCTGCCTCTCAGTGCTGCTTGAATACAGCTGTGCTAAGTAGCTCTGGTGACAGATGAGATGATTAGGTTGGGTACAGTACCACGGGAATGTTGTACTGCTGCTTCTGGTTCAGGAGGTAGCTGCGGTCTACATCTGCATGTTACACTTCACCTGGACCTCAGCTGCGCTAATTAGCCTGGACACAACACTTCGCTGTGGGAGCTGCAGCAACTGGACTCAGAAATAGGGTTAACTACACCAGTAGTTCCAGTAGTTTTGCTACTCTAGTAATATAACAGTAGCATAAGGAGGGGTGGGCAACTGGAACACCAGCCCTGGGTGCCCACTTAGAGGGGGTGCAAGAACAGCAGCTGCTGCCACTGGCCCAGCCTCTGCTGCCCAGGGCACAAATCCTGGTAGTTACACCACTGTGTCCCAGACTGTGTTCCTTGAAAGACAGTTTCTTTACAGAAGCCCCACTACAATAGTTGCTTCATGTGAACTCCTCTCCTCTCCCCCACCCCAACATAGTGGGACCTGTGAGGCTACTTTCTTTAGACTTTGTTGCTTCATCACTAGGGAAATCCTTTCCTGTCCCTTGGCTCTTCCTGTGGGGCCCTTTATGCAGTTGATGGCATGTAGAGGGGACAGAACAGTATTCTGAATGTTGAATTTCTGCCTCCTCAAATCCTCAAATATGCTATGTTTGCAGGAACCCCCAAGATTTGCCTTAAGTGTGATAGGAAACCTTCTTTGTTGTTGCTAAGACTATCAGTAAAATAAAGTTGAGTTCTAAAGCCTGATGGACAGTGTGGGCATTATTGTAGGAATGGCGGTCAGTGAACATTATTGTACAGTGGACATTATTGTAGGAATGGAGAGGCAGTCACAGACTCAGGAGTAAGGATTTTATTTTGGTCTGTTCATTTAAAAGTGTTTCTGCCTGTCTCTGCCACCTCCTCTCTCATTCCAGAATGTGGGTCTGGTCACAGTGACTTCTACCCCTCTGAATTGTGGCCCTCGTCTCAGGGCGCTGCTTCAACGCCCGGCAAATGAGAAGTTACTCTTGCTGCTCCCTGTCGGATATCCCAGCAAAGACGCCACTGTGCCCAATCTGACACGGAAGCCCCTGGATGATATTATGGTGGTTATGTGAGCATGGAAAAATCAAGGCGAGCAACTACCAAAATGCCTGTTGTAAATCAACAACTCACATAATTCTGCTTCTCTTCATTTCTATTGTGCACAGTTCATCTTTGTCCTTTTTTATGCATCTGCTGTGCCGGCTGTTTATACTGGTATGCCTTTTTAGTGCTAGCAATTGCAGTGGCTACATTCACTATATGCAGTGAGTAGTCAAGCATGGTGAATTTGACAGCTGCTATTATCAATGAGCCTGGTTGATTGTTCCAGGGGATGTACACAATGGCATTTAAATGACCTTCATCACTCAAATTGCTTCTTCACCTGAGGGGACAACTTTTTTCCTGAATTGGGAAATTGCCCTTGTGTGATACTTTTGTGATTGTCACTTGCACAGCTATTTTCATATTAGGGCTTTTGTTCGAGGGAAGCATCAGAGAGCTTAACAAAGAATGTAAGGAGACCTAAGTGGCTCAGATAATTGATATTGCTGAGCATGCATTTTTCAAGCACTCCTCTGGTAGCTGTATTAAACTTTGCAAGGAGAGAGATCTTACCTGTCTGAACTAGACTTTTCTCAGACTGCCTTTGCTTTGGTGTCATTGATAGGGGCCCCCAGCTGTGGGCAGACTAAAGCAGTGGTTTTCAGCCTTTGGTACCCCCTGCCAATCGACACGGGAAAAGCGAAACCAGGAGTCCCACCATGGCACTTCTGGTTTCACTGCCATGAGTCAAGTCCCACTTTTTCCATCACGACCCAGGGCAAAGCAGCCTGTTCAGGGCCTCCCTCCCTATCCCCCAGCACGCTGACACTGGGGAGTGAAAGCCCCGGTGCACCAGACATGGCAGGAGGGGCTGTGGCTGGAACTTCCAGCCTGAGCAGGGAAAGACCAAAACGCAGCACCTGTGTACCCCCTGCCCATGTCTCGCGTACCCCCAGGGGTATGCGTACCATGGGTTAAGAAGCACACAAGCTAATTTCCATCTATTTACATTCTCACGCACATCCTGTCACACTTTTAGCTTCTTTCACTCCTTTGAGTCTCAGACCAGCAGAGTCTTCCTGTGCCTGAAGAAGGGTGATTGTGCCTGAAAGCTTGCAAAGAACTTTTTTCCAACTACTCAATTGGCCTAATAAAAGATATCACATCTACTCAAAGAACCTTGCCTGCCTAAAGCATGCAAGGCATCTGAGGTGTTTTAACTGGTATCCTCCACACATGCCCTGGTTATGTATACATGATACGGTGGCTAAATCACTGGTGCCTTGTCTGCCCTAGAGAATCCAACATTGTTGCTCCTGATTTGGCATGCCTGAAGTAAACCATAACACTGACCCTGGGTTTGTTACAAACAAAGCCTCTGTCATTAAAGCTATGCTGGTGAGTTAAATCAGCAAAAAACCCCTAGAGGGGACACAGCATATGCAAAGAGGATTTTTTTGCTGCCAGCATAGCTACCCCATCTTCCCAAAACAGACTGACAATCTTTTAGGGATGGTGGGCCAAATTAGTACAGCTCACTCCAAAGGTGGGCTGTCATCACTTCCCCTGCCGAGCTTCTGACCCAGCTGCTGCTTTCCATGTCACTGCTGTACTTTTGATCTAGTTGTTACTTCCTTCTGGGGAATTGCCTTTGCCATTCAGCTACATGGGCCGGATGGAATTTCTTGCAGGGCCTGATCTGACCTGTAAGCCATAGGTTGCTGATCCCCAACACTGTGCTGACAAAAGTGCTCTCTGTTAGCATCTGCATCAGGGATTCTGCTGGAAAGGTGACTTGTAATTAAAAGAGCACACAAAATTAATTGCCAAAAGAAGACATGTTTTGTTTTTCCTATTTTTGGACTTTGCAAATTAACGTATAGGGAAGAAGCTCATAAAAATGAACCTGAAAATTGCACAGCTGTGGCATAGAAATGACTCATTTAAAGATTTCACCCACCAAAGCACCTTTAACACTACAAAGCAGAACTCTTTGTTTCTAAAATATGCATTTGGATGCAACCACTTCAATCATATTCTACGGCTGATGAGACACCAGTGAGAATCTTACAAATCAAGCTTTAGCACTGCTCTTTTGTCAAACCTGCTTGGGACTGCCACTATTCTTTAACTATTGTGCTCTCATTTTTTCAGCTGTAAATGAAATGAGTAGATAAGAAACTTTTGCTCTTGCATTTCCCCGCAGGACAGTCTTAAATAAAATGAAAAATTCCATCTACCAGTTGTTTTACATGTATTAATTAAAGGCTTTTCATTTGTTTGGTTCTAATAACTGTGTTATCTTGGTAGAGATTAAGTGGGTAGAAATGTCTCACAAGGAGTCCATGGGGGTTTTATTTTTATATTCAGCTACCCATTAAAAATATCAACTAAGAATCACCAGCTGGTCTAGATTGTCTACCGCACTCAGCCCATTGCATCTCCCACAGTGGCTAAGCCTTCACTGACACCCAATGTACTGAAAAGGGGGCCACTTGTTTTAGTGCTCATGTAGGAGCCAAGTTCTTCTGAAAATTTTATCTCAAATGTAGGCTTTGAATGTTTTGGAAATCTAGCCCTTAGTGAGGAATGCCTGAAAGCCTGGGAATTTAAGATCTTAGCTGGAAAACAAAGAGCCTTTACATTATCCAGTCAATGCTACTTCCAGTGCACAATCATTCCTTTAAAGACACTTTAGATGTTTTCATTATTCAGTGTTTACTGTGCTTTTTTTATAGCTCAGAATTTTTCTGTATTCTTAAGCTCCTCTGACTATCACACTGAGCCTTTAGGAGTGCCTGGCATAATGGCACTTCCTGGCTGGGCTATTCCAAAACAGGCCGTGCCCAGCTGCTCCTGAAGGCATTCTCCAAACCTAGAAGAGAGGCCATTCTGGGGCATCACCAGCAGCCACTCCCAACCATACTGGACATGGAGGTCTCAAGAACAGCCACACTGTCTTATTTCTGAGTTTGGAATGTGCTTGAGAGAATGGATGTGTTGCATGTGTTCAGGAACAGCTCATGGGGCACAACAACACCATGGTATAGACGTACACTGAGATGCCATTAACACTGACAGTGGGTAATAAGCTAAACTTTCTGAACCAGAAACAGTTTGTCTCTCTTTGGCTGGGTCTATATGTAGTCTTTGTACCAGTAGTACCAACATAGCTATTTCAGTTAAGGTTTTTATAGTGGCAGAAGATATCTGATATCCCACTATAGCTTATTGTCCTCCTTGCATAGGATTTACCATGCTGGTATTGTTAAAGTACTGCAACTTCAGAGAGCGGACAAACTCACATCCCAAACCTACTTAGACCATGAGAAGCAAGGGGAGCTACAAGCAAATGAATCAAGATCCTTAGCCCAAAAGTGTAGAGCTAAACTACTTTAGCGCAAAGATGAAAAAAATAGAGGTAAGCAGAACCAGATATACATAATTCTGTGTTGAGTTTTCAAACATGCTCAGGTTGGCCTCACTATTTTCACTGAAGATGATTCATGAACTACCATGTACTTCAGCAGGTGCACAACTAGACCACCAGAATGTTTTTGAAAATCCCACCTACCTAGTATGACTTAGCTACACTACTATTGTCGAATTTGCATTGCACTTCTGACTCATAACTCACAAGGCTTTACATTGTTTCTCTACTGGCCAAAAAAATGAGATAGCTTTGGTCAGTATGATAGGTAGTGGACCCCGTACATTGACATTCAATAGCAAGTCTTTGGGCATAACAGAAGGAGAGCTTTATGAAGGGATGAGGAAGACGTAGCTTTGTAGCTGTTTCTGTTTCACAGATAAGCTCACTAACCTAGTGAGGAGGGCTTTAAACTAGGTTGGCCAAGGGATGGAGACTAAAGCCCTGAGGTAAGTGGGAAAGCAAGAGACCTGGAGGAAGAGCAAGCAGGAGGGGGCAACTAGTTACCTTAGGTGCTTGTACATAATGCACAGAGCCTGGGAAACAAGCAGGAAGAATTGGAAGTTCTTGCAGAGTCACAGGACTATGTGATTGGAATAACAGAGCGCTTGTACACATGACGGCCAGATGATGTACACATGACAAAAATTTCCCTCTGTGTGGCTTAATTACATCATACTTTACATGTATGCAAGTTTTTGGTGATTTAAATGAGTTTGTGATAAAAATGACCTTTGCCAGCGAAAGGTGTATCCTGTTCCCCTAGTTCGGGGTTCATGCATGGAATTAATAATCAATGACCTGCTTTATGTAGGCTGCTGAGTGTGGTTTTCTTTGCTGCTAAAAGCAGTAAGCAAGTGCCTGGTCTCTGGATGGTAGGTACTAGCCTGCAGGCATCATAATTTTTTTTCAGTGTGCAGTCCCCCTGAACCCAACCTGCAGTTCCAGGATGCCAGGCACTATTTCTGGTTCACCCTGGTGGTTTAGGCTTAAGGCACAAGCCAGACCCGAGGCTTGTGCCTGCCTCACATTGGGGTGGGGGCAGATGGGCTCTTGGGCAGGTGGTCAGTCTGTTAGCTTGTGCCCCTAGGAGCAGTGTCTTGAAACATGGGTCACTACATGGTCTGCTGCTATGCCATACATGGACAGGGACTTTCTGGGGTGCAGGGACGGTGGAGCAGGGCTTCCCCCATGGCTGCTGTACCCTGGTATAAAGAAGCCTGACCCTGCCTGCCTGCCAAGTTGGGTGGGTTCTCCTCTGAGCATTTAACACCTAAAAGGAGTTTAATTGGGTCCCCATTAAACAGATACACAAGAATTGCCATGGGTGCAGACAGCCCCCATGCCTGGCTTGGCCCAGTCTGGAACCAAACAGTTGACTGGCAGAAAAACTTGCAAGAGGTCTTGTGTGCACAGCAAAAATTCCCAGACTTTTCCCACCAACCACCATGAGGAACTCCTGTGGGGTGGTGGCTCCTGGTGAGGCCACAAATCCTGCCATGTTTCAAGTAGATCGGTGGAGGGGTTTGGGGAGAGCTGCACCTCAAGCTGCAGACAAGCAAAACTCGTGACATAGGTGACACCATGTGTTAAGGCGCAGCAGGGTGAAAGCTACAGGTTTACTAGCCCCTGCTGTGGCCACGAAGCCTGCCAGCTGTCAAGGAGATAGGTGCAGGGGGTTCTGGGGCCCTGCACCTCTAGCTGCTGACAGGCAAAACTCATGACATGGGTGCTTGTGCACCTGACTGTGTCTCTGGAGGCAGTTGATTGTCTGTATTGATTATTTCCTCCCCTTAGTCTCTGGCTTTGTAGGTGTTAATCCATGCTCATTAAGTCATTATGTAATAGCTAGGTACTGTGCATAGAGCTCATATTTAAAAAACCACCTGGACAGAAATCAGAGGATCTAAAAAGAGAATAGGTCTGGGAAAACCCGAATGTATGGTAACCCTAAGTTATTATGCATTGTTATCTTATAAAAGTTCTCCTGCGGTTTGTTTAATTTTGTTTATTTTTTGGTATTGTAAACAAAGGTTTCTATCTGCTTTGTTCAGCTCTTCACTTTACGTACCCCTTGTTTAAGAGGGGGAGTGGAGATGGGGAAATAATCACTAGGTTGTGGGAGGGTGGGGGTAGGAGGTTTGCTGGCTTCTATTGGTAATTAGAATTTTGTCAAGCCTGCCTGACTGGTTTTGAAGTTGTTCTGATCTCCAACACTGCCAGTCATCCTGTTCACCTTCTGATCCCTGGTAAGCTTGATGCTGTCAGAGCACACACCCAATTAGCACTCCCCGCATTAGCAAATTTCTAGGTCAGCCAGTCCACCAACCTGCCTTGGTTTGCCCGCTGTGTCTTTCTCTGGTCACAGTAATAAAAGCTTGGGCATTGAGAGCCCTGCCATCCCCCAAAGCTCACTCCTTGGGCCATAGTTGATCACTGAGGATACTTCACTAACATGTATACATGCTGGGCAGGCAGCACGCGTGATGCATGTGTCTTTTGAAACTCACTGCTGCTTGGAATAAGGGGAAAAGGATAATATACACTTGGGGTCCCTGATACCATGATCTGGGATATTGCTGTGCCCCTGCTTATCATAGTGGACATGGATTACCCCCCTCCTGTCCTGGCTCATGAAGCCATATGG